CCTCGACCGTCAGAAAACTGAAATGTATTTGCATGTCATCTAAAAATCAGTTCGAAAATCGTACTGATTTTACTAATAAGTATTAAACAAATGGCGAATTTAGTCACTTTTGCATTAAAAAATAGCCCTTCATGCGTTATATCTCTCCTTTTTTCTTGAATTTTAATTGTTATATAGGCTTTGAAAATTGACGGATTTTGTTTCAAGGAGCTGCTGAAACTTACTTACTTTCAATTTTTCAAAATTATGTATTAGCTGCTGAAGATGGCGTATGGTTTAAATGGTTTAAAGCGTAAAGTTGAAGTTATGTATGTAGTTCAATCGTCAGTTGGTAAAGTGTTAGTATAACCAAACCGTACAAGAAAAGGATTGCAAAAAAATAAGCTTAAAACTTTAATTGAATAACAATGTTGAATATGCATAAAGTCTAATATCCTTGTGCAGATTCAAAATCATACTGAAGGTATTGGTATAGAGATGAATAAGGCCAAGCACCAGAACTAGGCATAGAAAACCATTGAAAAACTCCAATCCCACTCCATTGAAAGTAAAGAAACACTGCATTTTCACCGCCATATTCACTTTCCTTTAACATTCAATTTCAATATGAAATCCAAGTAAGTCTTGAGTCGTGAGTCTTGTAAGGAATAATCATGCATCACTGCTTGGAAACTCAATTAAAAGCTGAAGCTCAAGCAATTTTAAATTCTGGATTTTTCTCAAATGATTCTTGGATATTATGAATTTAGAACTTTTGCAAACTGGTCAAAAAGTTAGGGGAAGAAATAAGATTTCAAGTGTAATAGTCGAAGATCAATATTACACATTTTAGGTGAGTAAACTCCCCAAGACTGTATTTTTATTTCCTAATTCTATGTCTGGCAAATATTGATTACTAAGATGGTCTGCGCCATTTCAACGGTGCCAGTAACGCATAGAATTTAATTAACCCTTAAAAATGCATTATGATTTTGCGAGGAAAATGTGTTTGTTAAAAATGCACAATTAAAGTTTGCCCAAAAACGATCAGTTTGGTTTTATTATATAGCAAACACCGTACGTTGCCAACAATGAAGCAATTTTTACGATAATATAATAGACTACAGCTACGTTTCATTAGAACCACTGAAGGAAAAGCTATTATTGATCAGCTGGGAACTGGAGAAAATAAATTCAGTTTATTCCACTCTCTTTCCTCAACTTTATTAAATATAGTTATTTTGTAGTTCAATCTATTTTATGAAATTTCATATTCGTCAATCATCAAACTTACTTTGCGATGTTGGGATTTGTTGGAAATAAAAGCGTCATATTCCCTAGTAGTAGTTTGAAAATACTTACTTATTACACTGAGCAAAGTAGACACTTGCAAATTCTACATAGTTTCAAAATCTAACTAAAAGGCAATTACGTGGGATTAGTTCTAAGCAAATTGAGATAAAGCAAAGTCCATTAAGAATGAAGTGTCTTAATTATTATTCATCGTAGTAAACGGAGAATTAAAGTGTCGCCTTCGAGGACATTAAAAAGCTGTGCCATGTAAATGCAACTTGGCAATTTTATCTTAATCTTCTTGTTTACATTAGTCTTATTATGTTTATTTGCCTACCTTAAGCTTTAAGTAAAGAGAACGGCGTTATTTAGACATTCACTTTGTTTTCAGGTATCAGGTGCATCATTGTGGTGTTTGGTATTTCAAGCGAAATTAGCCTAACCAGAAGCAAATTTGCATAGAATGCATAAACATTAAGCTATTTAGCTAAATAGCAAAATATTTCATACAAATGTAAAATAGTCCTGCAGTAACAAAAAATATCTGAAAATACGTGTAGCAACAAAGGTGTGGAAACGCACATGTTTACTGCATAGATTTTATAGCATAATAATAAGCCATTTATTCCAGTCTGGTTCACAATGTTAAAAGTGTTTTCTTTGATTATTGTATCCAATTAGGTAATGTTTACTCAATATTATTGTGCTACTAGAAAAAATTATTATAAAAAATTGAATTTTGCAAATCAATTTTCCCATTGGTTTTACTTTCATTGAAGCAAAAGTTGTGCTCGTGTTTTGTTGGACTCCTTATCAACTAGTCATATAAAGTAGAGGTAAATAATTAATATGTTCATAAAAAAGCATGTTCATAAAACAAACAGGTCAGAAACAAACTCGGTTATAAAATGTAAGCTTAAAATTTGCTTTTTCTGCTAATTTTACTTCCGTTGACGAAGTAGAAAACTCCAAAGTTAAATAAAAAAACCATTAAAGATCAAGTCAAAAATAGACAATGCAATGAGTTTTGTTAATCGCTTAAAATAGCTGAAAGCAAACCGAAAACAAATCATTTAATGTGAATAAAGCAAAGAGGCGTATACAGAAACAAGGTGCATTTCTCGTAGATACAATTGTTAAGCTTTGATCAGCAGAATAACACATGAAAGATTAAACGACTGCTCCTTTTACAACATTTATAATAATACATTTGCTTCCTAGAAACGAATTAAGTATGTGGGACAGAAACAAAGGAATCTTAAATATTTGAATATGGAATAATTGACACAAAATTTAAGCAGAGATATATGTGAAACCTGAAAGTTTTTAGAAACGCGATGTTGGATTTGATTTACCAGTCGAATAATTTATTTGGATTAAATATATGTATATGCTCATAAAAAGTGATTTTTCATTTTTTTGCTGCTCAAGTTAATTATCACTACTATCTCATTTTATATGCACCTCAAAAAATATTTTCCTCGTTACATCGAATTATGAAGGAATCAACGAACGTAACACGTCAATGATATTGCAAGGAGTTTTTCATTTTGCTGATGCAACTGCAAACTTTTCACGCCAACCAGTTGAGAACAGTCAAATGTTTCAAAATTTGGGTTCCTATAACAATGTTATAAATGCTTGTTTTGAGTTTTATGATATGTGAATAATTTATCACAGAGATGCTCAGTTTTACTTAAAACCGCGCCTCCCAACATTAGTTTTATCATTCTTTTTTGTTAATGAAAAATGTCTAATGAAAATTTTCATACTAACAAAACGTTATACGAATACATCACGAAAAATCTTGAAAAAACTTTTGAATGGTTTTGTGACTGTGTTAGTGCTGGTTTCTATCATCAAACTCAAACTGGCCTTAATCGTTGCTTATGAGTACTGTGCGCTGTAAAATTTCAGCAGTTCAGTTGATGCCAGTTTAACTTTGCTTGGCTCCTGTGATTTTCTCAATTGAATCACTATTTTATAATTTATAATTTAGTAGAAAATTTATCAAAAACCAACCATTACAGCACTGGTATTTTTGTATACGCCTGGAAGTTTCCTGAAGTTGCGAGATGTCAGAAAAAATTATAGAATCCTAATTTTTTAAGTCTAAAAAAGTTTTGCAACTCTGTTTGTAATGCCCGGTTTTTTCATGTTCCCTATGATCATTGAACTGCTCTAAAATATTTCTTAAAAGCAGAGTGGAAACTGCACTTTTGAGAACTAACTGAGATTCCTTTTTAAACAATTTACCCACCTGAAAATAAATTACGCCAATTTTGAAAAATCTTGTTTATACAAAATAGCTATTTTAGAAAATAATTTATCCAAACCGGGTAGATCCTCATAATCATCTGTTATTGTTATATTAGACATTAGGTAAACTATTCTATTGCGTAGTCATTTTAGAAAACTTGAGCACTCTTTATGTAGAAATCAATTTCGCTTTATTTGATGTTCCAGCAAAAAATAACTGTTATTTTATTCATAGAAATTATTAGAATATATTACAGAATTTAAGAAAAAGAATAATTCGTAGTTTTTGTACAAATGTGATGTGCTAATTGTAGAAAATTAAAATACGGAAATGAATAATCCTTTGACAATAAGTGGTAGAATAACGGGACAATGCCAAAAAAACACTTTATTTCCTCTAGTCCCGAATTAAAAATCATGTACACAAAGAAGTGAACAACACCTACTAAACAATGGGCATTAGTCATAATAGCAAATGAACTACCGTAATATTCTTTCCAATTCATGTTGATTATTCTTCAAGCTATTTGCTGCTTGAACAATTCTCCGGGTGACACGCGGTTTTCTGAAAGTATCGTGTTATTTGTTGTGAATTTAAGCATTTTTTTATAAAATTTGAACATTTTGCATATTTTGTTATTTATTGTAACTGTAACTTCGGGCATTTCTGAAAGTTAAATCAAATACCGTATTTTCTGAAGATATATGACTTCATCCTTTTCACAATGTTCGCATTTACATATCTGCAATTTTTTTAAATTTGCGGACAATGCGAAGGCCGCAGCAATTCGGAAAGTTTCCAACAGTGGGCGTATATAATATAAGTAACAAGCAATTTGCGACATCTTAAAAGTACGCCTAATTCATTAGGGAACAAGAAAATGGCCAAACCCCGAAAAAGTTGATGCTCGGCAAGATTATTCGCAAAAGGAAAACATTAAAGCATAACGACTTTTTACTTTCTACTAATCGGGCTATTTATGCGAAATTGTTGCGATTTTAGTGCTGTCTTTATGCAAACGACACACGTGGGTAGTAAATCGGGACAATCGAATCTAAACGTATTAAGAATGCTGTACAGAGTGTACATGGTTTTGCAAGCACCGCATATTTCCACTTTATTTTTAATTTAACTACTGCGACTCTGACCAGAAATGTTCAATTGGCTTGAAAGTCTAGAAAAAGTAGGTGGTAATCCAGGATATTTTTGAAATTATTTCTGCTCAAATGGATTTTAGCTCAGTAGTAAATGTCACACTTGATGATTAGGAAATATTTTTATGCAACTAGGCATCTTACATACCTACTTTTGTCACAAACATACGGGAAATCTATTGCCATGCAACTTGATAATTTTCTATCGTTGCTTTTGTTTATGACCACATCACCATTGTTTTCTTCGCACAATGGCTACTTCTTTTGTTACCGGATAAGCCTGTAAAATGCTTACGTTTTTGTTGAAAACATACCTATGTTAATTACACCATTATAAAATTCCGATTTCTTAAGTGTTGAATGTAGCTTCCTAATTCGTCTTCGCTGTTATTCATGTCAAGATGGCTGTTTTTTACTTTTCCTTTAAACGGTCAAAGCCATTGGCTGCTTTTAACCATCACGTTGATCTTACGACACTCTGTATATAAATAAAAGAATTTAACAATCTGCAGTCCTTGTGCAAACAGACAAGGCAACAGGTTGCCAACACAAAATCAAAAACGAGCTATCCTACGCGAAATTCTTCTAAGTTACGACTAATTTGTTAATCTGGTATACGTTCTGATTATTTTGCATGGGCTGAACGGGTTCAATAGTCGATTTTATTGAACGAGTTAATGTAAGTTTTTTCGAGATAAATGTACACTGCAACTGGAATGTGGGTACGACACATTGTCCAAGAAAAGGAAGTGACTATTTCAATAATGATAACAATAGTTTACAATGCATAACTTGCAACTAATTTGCAGTAAACAATAATGTCAAGGCTATAGCGCAAGAAGGAATTCAAATTTTGGATTGTTAGAACGAAATGCAAACACCACCCATAGCTAATGCAAATATCCTTAGGATCAACAACGGCTGTATTTGCAAAGCAGGCAATTTTTTTATGTAAATATTATTTGCATTATATGGGTACAACTAATGAGGAAAGATTTCATTTTAGGTCCTGAAAAAATAGACGGAAATAGTTTAATGAGATCATGATTTAATGATATTTGAGTTGAATGAAAAAATATTTAAATCTAAAACGCTTATGAAAAACTTCAACGAAGTGCTACTAGTTATATTTTTATTCATTTATAGGTCCTTAACTGATAAATAATATTAGATAAGGTATAATAAAGAAAAGCATTTTGCTAACTGAAAGCTATTTTGTTTGTTACACGTTTGTCCAATCTGTGTGCCGTTCTTCATGCCGCTGATACAGATTGATTCTATTTTACAAGACTCAAGATAAAATGCAGATTGATAAAAAGTAATTTTGAAGATAAAAAACCGACTCTCTTCGAGTTAATAAACCACATTGGTAAACCATTTTACAAAACATTGCAAATTGCAAAAAATACAAGCAAGAGCAAATCTGGATTAAACACCGAAACTGTGAATGTTAAAATTACAATATCGATTTATGGTTAAAACTGTCGACGTAGATTTGGTTTGTTTGCTAAAGGACAAAATGTGTAATAAATTCGCAGGCCAATAGGTACTAGATTGTAGCACAGAAATAATCAGTGAAAAATTATTGGATTTATTGAAGATTATTAGAATTGAGCACATAAGAGGAACGGAAAAGAGGCAACTTACCAACCTGCCAGATAAAGATGGTTTTTTATTGCGCGCGACAAATAGATACGAAAGACAGCACACAAATGGAAGGAGAGAAGAGAGAATCAAACAACTCAATAACATCCGACTTGGTAACAAATAAGGAGAACACAAGTAACAATGCCAACAGTAAAAATAACGAAGCAAACATTCTTGGTTGTAGTAAATAGGAGTACAAAAAATACAATGAATAAGGGAGCAAACAAAAACACAGCACAATTGAAAACGCAAGTTTTGCAGCTTGAAGCCGCTGAATTCATCAGAGAAAATTAACATAAAGAGAACAGGGGGATAATGTTTATTTATTGTATGCTAAGTAACAGCGACAGTCAAAGAAAAATATAAATAAAACCACAGTAGAACAAACACGTACAAAGGATAAAGAATGTTGCTACAAGTCGATGAAAATCGGAGGACGAACGAAACCGAACTACAGCCAGCAAATAAAAATTGTCTTCACCTGCTTACAAAGCAGCAGCAATGGTGAAACTGCACTAAGATTGACAACAACAGACAAACACATAGATGAACCAGGCAACACAATGTATGAAGTTTGAAATTGATGAACATTGGAATTTATTAAGCAACAGTGACACGGAGGAGCACACGTAAAAGGACGAAAAGAAGGAAATCAAGCAAGTACTGTTAAAAAACCAACAAGCAAGAGAAATTACAAATTCAACATAAAAAGCTTCGAACAGCAAAAAATGTGCAACTCAAAAAGTTGACAAAAATGAAAAACAGCAAGTAAACATGTGAAGCAGAAACCCAGCTTTAATATAAATAGACTAATAGATAAAAAACGAATCTAGCTTCAACTGTTGTTCATATATGCAAATGTTCCAAAATAAGAAATAATTCAGATAGAAATAATGTATTTTTTACTGTTTGTTTGCCAAGGAGTAAGTATGGCGAAGTTCCAAAAATAGTCAAACGACAAGAAAGAGAACACAAGAATCATTAAAAAATGTGGATTTTTGAAAGCAACAAAATTGAATTAAACAGAATTAATTAGAACCTTTTTCGGTTTAGCAGTTTATGTAACAAAAATGTTCGAGCAAAAAATTTTGGGATGAAAATTGAAAAACCACATAATGTAACATCAAAAGATTAGGAATTGTCTATGAACGTGTCGGTGCAGGTACACGGTACAATAATGATTGTGATTTATTGCAGATTTCCTACAGATAGTCTAATTCTACCCGGACAAATTGCCTATTGAAAAAGCCGACGGTAAATATTACAAAATCGAGAATTATGTACTCACTTTTAAGATATTAACTAGCAATTTTATTGACTCCCACGAACAATTTTGTAAGATGGTAATCACAAACGACTCGACAGACATACCACGCTTCTACCAAGGTCATGCTGCTTGTAAAATGTTGCTACTTGAGTTTAACAATATATGTGTAACGCAATTGAATTTATTTTTGAAAAAAATCGGAGAAAATAATTTCCTGTCTACAATCAATTCAGGTTTGAAACGAAATCGAACGTTGGAGAAGCTTTAGCAGTAGGTGAATGTAATTGAGAAATTTCGAGTGTTTTTTATATGTTTTAACACTCTGCAATACTGCAATGGCTATTTGAGTAAGAGTAACGATCAATAGCAAAAAAGCTTTTCTGAAGAATACTATAACTGATAATATAAATATTTTTGTGATGCTTCCAAGCAAACATTTTGTAATTGAAATTTACTTGCATATCAGTTATTCTGAAAGAAAACTAAATCAAATCTCATCTCCAATTTATTTTCGTTCAGTTCCCCATGTTCCAGGATCACATTCTCCTATCAACTTAGCATTAATTTCAGTTAGATGTGCATCAAGTATTTTATCAGCTAGAATCTTCCAGTATATCATTTATAATGTACATTAACACTTTATTCAATTAATAACATTTCTGAACATCTTTAATGAAAACAGAGGAGACAGTAATTTTCAACCTACGTCTTTTTTCCTCGAAAACACGATGCCCTTCATACTGTTTACTTTTTTGTACGTTCAGATACTTAGTGCAATCAATAGCTTTACCCCTTTTTGGTATTCCATGTAGGTTGGCAGAAAATTGCGCAATTTTGCGAATCGCCTGATTTTGTTTCGTATTTTAAAGGCGACGAATACGTGATGAGAATATGGAAAAATTCAATGTTATAATAATATGTTATGCGCCTACTCTTATTGAAATCAGTAAGCAAGCAACAGGCAAGCAAAACCAAACATCTTAATATTTCTCTTGATTTGAAGATACATATATTATGTTCAATCCACGCGTGGCTTCTTAAGAGCTGCTATTTTAGAAGAGAATTTAGGTTTCACACTTTTGAAAAAAATCTAGTTGCAAAGATACACAGAAGAAAAATGTATTATTTTTATTATACTGTTGTATTTACGAACTTTTGTGAAATTGTGAAACTCAAATTTCGAATACCTTTATAAGAACTGAATTATATATTAAGCATTATAAGTGTAATAATATTACGTAAATAATAATAAAAAATTGCAAAAAGTGTTTAAAATTAAGATTTCCTTAGTGCCCCCTTTTCAATCTGTACAGTAAACGAGTGAAATCTGATCTTTAAAGAAGACCTTCACAAATGCACTGTTCCACAGGCTTTAAATCTTGCACTTTTATTTTATGCGAGGTCGCAGTTCTTATTACGAATAGTTTAAGTCGATTTAACAGTCTCAATTACACTAATCGATATCAAGTATGATCCCACTAACCCTATCTAATGGTTTCGATGTCAGTTGAAAGCTTCGTCAAATATAGATTACAAACCATGGGTAAGTTGGGATCTAAAAACTTGCACATGCATATCCTAAATCGAACGCCAAGAGATTAAAAGATGTAATGCCTATAATGCCTATAATAAACCTGGATAAAAAATATTAGTGTATCATAATATTGAGCAGCCTACGATACATGTGTGGCCAGTAATATGGAGGAGGGTATTTCAGTTTCCACAGCAGATACTTTACAGACTTAATAGAGAATCGAAAATATTAGAACGAAGGTATTTGCTTGAAAATTAGTAGACGTTCATTGAAACTGAAGAGGCCAATTTTACAATAAATAGGATGAGAATGAGTCTCTTAAGCACATTGATCAAAATTATACTGCGATATTATTTGGCCCAAATGAAGACCATCTAACCAATTTTATTCAGAAAATATGCATGGTTTCAAAAAAAATAATGAATTGGTTCCAAGTACCAAGTAAAAAGTTCTACCAAACAGTTCAAGAATTTACCACTACAAAGTATCATAAAATATTTCTAATAAAACAATCGATCGACTTTTCAACATTATTATTTATAACAAAAATATTTTTACACCAATTGCGGATAAACGCATTAAATGCTGTTTGAGATCACTGTTAAAACTAACAATATTAAAGTTTTGTAAGGAGGGAATGGTGTTCAAACCTCTCACAGCGTCTTAGGTAATATTATTATATAAATCTTTTATTAATGGGTTAAGGTTTATGTATGAATCTAAATCGTCGATTAGTAAGACAATTTTGCGATTCCGTCTTTATCAAGTGGCAAGCTTTGCAGTATGTGGGCGTTTTATGGCAATCGCAGTTGAATGTTAAGGTGAACCGCGGATTAATCATCTTCATTTCGATGGGATTTGTTACTACACAGACTATTTACACTTAAATAACGTTTTAGTGATGTCTTATAAAGTCTTATATTGTGTATTCAGATTGTCACTGGCTCAGTTTAAGGTTTGTCTTCTTGAGACGTCACTATTCCAGGTCTCGTATTTATATATAAAATGTTTAATTGATCAGTAGCATCCAAAGTATAGTAATATAGCAAGTAAATTCCGAACTCTTGTGACACACTATGCATATCTCCATAATTTGATTTCGAGTCTGATATTTCTGCTGTTATTTCAACATTCCGAGCGACTACTTAGCCGGCATGGCGCAGCAATGCAATTTGATTGGAAAACTGCAACAATTTTTAATCTCCATAACTAAAAACAAAAGCCAAATACGGCTTCGTTAATGACAAAAACTCTTCCTTATTGTTTGCAAATTCGCTTGCATTAGATACGGCTGCACCGAGCAACTGAATGTATGATTTCAACGTGTTTCAGGTTGTAGAAGTAGCATCCGAAAGTACAATTTTGCAACTACGTCGATAAAGTCAATAAATATTACCACTCAAATAATATAATCACACATTTTATTACATGTTTACTGTCCTAGTGCGATTTATTACATATGAATAATGTGCATTTTTCCATCAACAAATGCGCTGAAAATCCTTCAAAATCGCAACTTAAACATATTAACCCATTTGCAGTAGTTAAATTTCATTTCAACTAATGTATTATGTATATTTAAGCAAGATAATTGGTCAATTCGCAACTATCAAGTTTCTTCTGTTCCATCATTTTGTTTTGTTTAATATCAATTTTGCTCCTCTCTCATCTTGTAATAATAACGATATTAACTAACAGCAATTAAATTTATCATTCTTACTTGCACATAACAGTACTAGGTACCAAAATGTGTAATTGCCAATTTGCTTTATTGAAAAATGGTATTATTCCAGTTGATAACTGATATTTTAAAATTTTAAATATCGTTCATCGTTTGGTTTAAGATAAGTGTCATTTTATCAAACATTTTGACAACACATTGAACAATAATGAGCTTCTTTCTTCAATGTACGAGATTATATCTAGAAATAGTGTTTACATAAACCTGATACGAAATACAATTTTTGCTTTCATTTCGAAGAAATAAATTTGTTAAACGTAAAGAATTGAACGGCCTGGCCTAGTTGAAATTAGATCCATTTCCAATATAAGACAAATATAAATAAAATACAAAACATTTTAGAACAACACACGCGTGTTGATGTAGGAAATCAAATTTGCACGAACACGATCTGTTAGTATTTAGACTTTTGAGAAAATGGGCAAAGGGTATCGTTAAAAATTAGTCCAATGCCTTAAAAACTAAATATTCTTATGATTCTTACTTAAATGCAGTTTAATAAAAAAAAATTAAGAACAAATATGTACAAAATGGTTAAAATAAATTGGTTTATTACAGAAATTAGTAGAAAGCGTTTGATTCACAATTTCCATTTGAGCGATGAATGTATTTATCTAGAAGTAAAACCCGCTTTAGAGATTTTCTGGAGAGCTTAAATTTGAACAATTCTCAATAATGTCAACGTCCTAAAATAGTTCTTAAATGCGTGTGTTTTTTTAATTATAAACAGTTCTTTTTTAGAATATCATTAATTCCGATTCAAGAAATTGAATATATACAGTCGGAACTTTATTTCTCTATTTTCAACTCGTCCTTATGCTGAGTTATTAATTTGTCATTGATTGTAAATAAGAGATTGGAGAACACATTCATGAAATTATTAAGATAAATACGTTAAAATGTTACTAAATTCAATTAATCCACAGACATCTACGGCCTAAAATTAAAAGCCGATATTTACATCAATTCCAACTGGTCTCGATTATCACCCATTAAAATGTTTCAATCATTGTGTCGATTTGGTATTTTGTTTAATTCGCTTCCAAAACTATTCGTTTCCGAAAATTGCAATTAGATCACTTCAAAAATTCCTATCGAAAAGTAATCCAACTTTGCAGTTGGATATCACATCAAGAAGCTTATTTTACTTGAGAATTAAATAAGCGTACATGTACTTCTAAAGTTAACTATTATAAAATTAAAATAATAATATTAACTTTTAGAACACTACTACACACATTACTTCATTATTGAAAAAGTGGATGGATGTAAATAACAGATTTAAAAACCCAATAAAGTTATTGAGGCTCTATTGAGTCTACGTCTAAATGTGATAACTCGTTGATGTCGTCTAAAATTTGAATTAATAAAACACATTTAATGATGTGCACGATTTCAGTGAAAGTAATTTTAATTTATGGAAGTCGGGAACGAAATAACGTACCGTTATGGATGTTGTTAGCCGCTGCATTTGCTGCATGCCTGTATGCAGATAAACGTATTGGGCACTCGACCACGTAATATTGCCGATTTACTTGGTAATTACCAACATTCGATAGTCAAGTATGCTGCATTATGTAAAGATGTCTCAGTAACTTGCCAAGAATTTGCTTATCTTACAACAAAGTTGAAAATTTGGAGCCGGCGGAACAATTGCAAGAGCTTACACACTTGAGATCTTGTCTAGGAGAGAAGATACTTGGATAGCCAAAACAATTATTTTACTAAATATTATTATATAAGCAGTTATAAAGGTAAAACAGTGAAATCCTTTGGTCTTCGACACTTTTTTTTCAACTGCACACAATGTTTTGGACTCATTTCATTGATTGGGGAATTTGTA